TATAAATAAATATCTACATATGATTTTATATATATTATAAATCTATATATGATAAAATCATATGTAGATATTTATTTTTAAAAATTCAAGGATAAATAGACAATTAAAATTCTCTATAATAGAAGAAACACCGAAAAAATATTAAGAGGCTTTTCATAATGTGGTCTTTTCAAACACTTCACATGATCTCATTTAATATGTTCCTAATCACACATCTCAGAAACATCAAAATTACACAGTGAAATTGACCTTTATTTTGAGGCATATGAGTTGAACATATTAAGACTTAATATGTTCAACTAATGCAGAATGGATTACTATCAATAAAATAAATCTTGGCATTATAAAATAAAATATGCAAATACAAATTTTTCTATTTACTGTATCAATAAAATTAATATACAAAATAATATATATATGAACATTTAAAATGAATAAAACTGTGAATTATAATTTTGAACAAAATAGTTGAAACGTGATACGGCAAAGATTAGGATGATGATAATTTAGAAATATCTGGGGATGCTGTGTTATCAACTTCAAAATATACAGCAAACACACCAACAACTGAAGATTGAAATGTGTAATTTTCAGATTAACTTCAATAAATGTAAATATTTATTAAATTATCAGTGAAAAATATGTTGTAGCAAAATTGATTGTATTATGTCGTAAATGTGTTCTCAGTTATGAGTTGTATAACTTAAATTAATAAACTAAACTGAAACTAATTTGGAAATATGAGCATTAAGCATTGTTGGTTGTTCAATTAAGTTTGAAGTTCATACAGTCTCTTACTCTTACTTTAACTTTCTTCAGAATTTTAAAAGTTGAAATCCATTCAACTTTTTGTAATTTTAATTTTTTCTGAAATAATAAAACAAACATACAATGTTATTATATGAAGATACAAAAATGCTAGTTTAACAAATATTTCTGCTGTATATTTTCCAATATCTGTTTTTTTAAAAAAAGAAAAATAAGATCTGAATCTAAACTATCCTGTTAGAACAGTAGTTTATATAATTCTAGTGATGCATAGATATTACTTTAATTTTTATAAATTTAAGTCATTACTTTTATTAATGTTAGTCTATTGCGACTATAATTTATTAATTAACAGGACAAGTTAAATCAGTATAATGACTCCTATTAATACATTATAGTCACAAAAGACTAACATTAATAAAATACAGTAGAGCGTCGTTTATCCGAAAGTCAATTATTCGAAAGAATTCCAGTCGGCAAATTTAAATTTTCGCCTGTGCTGTGGCACTGCAATTTTTGGCTACGTCTTGGGCTACTCAAACATTTTACGTTTTTGATATTAAATTAACTTCTGAACTATAATTTTTTATTGTTTTTATATTTTTCAATATATTTATTTTGTTTGTACAAAATAAAAAAAGAATTTTTAACGATACTATAGTCTTCGTTAGGCTTAACATTGATGAAAATTCAATGTGAAGCGACACGCAATGGAGAAAAATTTTAACATGCGATAGGTTAATATAGTTTTTCGTACATAATCGGTTATCCAAAATATCGATTTTCTGAACCCCAGTCCCCAATTGATTTGGATAAACGACGCTCTACTGTAGTATTTAAAAAGCTAGAGATAAGTTACTGTTATTTAATACTCAATGTTGAAATTAATTTTCATTCATTACTTTACTATTATTAATAAAACTGACTCTCTTGTTCACTTTTCAGTATTTCAGTTTAGTAGATTTAATTAGGAGCAAGCATTCAAAATTGAAATTTATTTTGAAGCTCTCTTACCTGTTTAAATTTATCAGGCACATTGAATTTTCTTTAGGAAAAGGCTACAAAGTGGCAACAAAGTGGTGAAATTGATGGTTTAACTACAAATGGTGTTTTAATAATGCATCCTAGAGGTCCTTTCTCTGCTGGGACAGAAGCTGGAATTTGGAGAGAGATATCAGTTGGAGGTGGTGTCTATTACTTAAGAATAACCAGATCTGCTGCTCAGAAAGGTGTAAAAGTAAGTTAGTTTTTTTTTTGTTTATTCATGTTTAATAAAGTATTTTAATGTAAAGATGTTTACACCAAAAGTCTATTATAGTAGAGCAATCTAAAGTGAGAAGAAGATATATATTATACATAATCATTTTGCTTTTTATATCAGTTTTATTCATTTAATCCTGAGCACTATTTTGGAAATTTGTGTTTAATAATTCATTTCACCAATTATTGGATTAATTTAATTATATATATTGTAATGTTTTTAGGACAGAGTAATATTAATTTACAGCAATTGTACATTGTCAGAAGCAGTTTGCAAAATTCTTTCAAAATATAGTGCTTTTCTCATTGCTCATAAAGTGCATCAAAAATGCTCTATATACTTTATTTTTAATTATTACATGTTTTAACCATTTAATAACACATCAAAGTGCTAAATACTTACATATTGCACTATATTTATACTGTAATATTTAGCATTTTGATATTTGATTAAAAAATAATTTGACATTAATATCAAAGTTTTTCTTGGTAAAACAAGTTCTTCAGAGAGTTAAAATATATGTAATTTTTGAAAAACTTCTGTCAACATTAGCTGAGCTGAACAGGAATGAGAAGGCTTTTATAGCAAGATTACTGAATAGTCATGTTTTTTGAATAGATTTGCCTGAATTTCACAGAATTGTGACCCTCTTCTGACAAATTTTCAATTAGGTTTTAGTTGCAGACTATGACAGCAATTAGTACATACCAACATACCATATTTACTTGCATATAAGATGACCTCACATATAGAATGAGGTGTGACTTTAAAAATCAAAGTAAAGAAAATTAGATTTATTAATACACTTCTAATTTTATTTTGTTTAATTAAAAGTAAAATAGCAAATAAACGTAAATGCACACATTGTCCTGCAAAAATTACTGGCATTTTAAACTTTAAGGAAAAATCTTGTAAAATCAACAACATAAAGTGTTTGTGTAAAGCTGGACAATCAGAAAACTTTTTTTGCCAATTCTTAACAGTCGAATCCACTCTCCATCGATTATATTTATGAGTTTCTCCAAATTCTGATTTCCAAATAATCATCTGTTTTTACATGGGAATGGATTAAAACTTATATCAATCTCTCGTGTGATTTTGGAATGTTAACCTGAAATTTAATCAAAAGCTTTGCTTTTTCTATTGCTATTCATCTTTACTTCTGACAATATATAACTATTGAAATTATCCAGATAATGTACTTATGTTTTTAAATACAAAAGGGTGATCATCCGGCAAAATGTGCGAATACACAATTCGCAAAAATTACTTGCAAAAACACAAAGAATCTTTTTCTTGTTCATATAGGACAATCTAGGAACTTGAAGCTGTGATAAATGAATGTCTTATATGTGAGTAAATATGGTAATTTTCTGAAAACAGATACAGTTAAATTTTATTTTGCTACAAAGATTTGGATCAATATGATGAATTTGCTCTCAGAAAACAATAGCTGAATGTTGTCATTCATATATACTGCTATTTACTTGGAAATTCATTTATATCTAGCAGTTTTCAGTTTTTGCCACGCATCACTTGCAACAAAACTATGCTCAGGTTGAACTTGAAGCTTATAAATTAATATGCAGATATCAAAGGACACTGAGCCTATAGTTTTAGCTTCAACTCAAAGTTTTTGTTTTGTACAAAAAGTGACAGGTAGCAAATCTCTCATCATCAGATAGTAGAGAAATCCATTTCTTCAAAGCTGGAAGATTTTTTAGATTGTGCAACTTGGAACCATGCAGCTCATAGTGTAATTACAGAAACATGCAATAAAGCAGTTGCTTGTTTTTCTCTCTGAATATAATTCAGAAGAATTCTTTTTCTGCTTCAGTACTTTAACAGTTACTGCTCTCACACCAGTATTAAACTGAAATATATTAATTAATTATTATTATTAATATTAATTTTTGAAGTAATTTGTTTTTACCTGCTATTTTAGATTGAAGAAGATACAAATATTTTACAAGATGGAACTTTAATTGACCTCTGTGGAGCAACTTTATTATGGCGTTCGGCAGAAGGTCTTAGCAGATCTCCAGTAAGTATTAATAAAAATACTGTTGGTATTTTTGTGGGGTCATGTATTAAAATTACAGTATATCTAATTAATTTATAAGAGAATAGTTATGATTAAGGGTGATGATGCTCTGATGATGATGATTATTAAAACATGAAGTTTTTCATGCTGCAATATAGAATTTAATTTTTTTGAATAGATGTTTTACAATATTTAAGAAAAATTGCAGATTGAAATTTTACTTAAATTTTTAATAGTACAAGGGTGGATTAAATATAAATGGTAATTTTGCTATTCTGCTTAGTACGCAGTTCCTAGCTAGATGATGTAGAGTGCAGTTGATGTTTGATTTGTGAGGAGTGGGGGAATTGGCTTAGTTAACAAGTGCACTCGGTTCTGTTGTCAGTACAGCCATGATCATGTAAAAGGTACATTTGTCTGTTGCACAACACATCATCATAGTTTTTAACTAATGAGGGCGTCAAACCCTCGGAAATTTTTAGTCAATTGAAGGCACAGTTTGTCTCAGAATCGCGAATCACAGAATTTAAAGATGGGCAGGAACATGTCAAAAATGAAGGTCATGATTGACGCCCAAAATGACAACATCCATGCTGTTCAAGAGCTTATTGAACATGATCGTTGGTTAACTGTTGAAATGTCATCAGAAGTGGGTATCAGCTATGGGAGTGTTCAATCCATTATCACTGATCCATCTTGGCTTCAGAAAAATTAATGCCCAATGGGTTCTGAGGTTGTTGACCAGAAATCAAAAACAAGTCAGGTTGAAATGGGCTGGAAAATCCTCGAACACCTTCCTTATAGTCCAGACTTGTCCCCCTATGACTATTTTTTGTTTTCACCCTTGAAGGAATCACTTGGAGGAAAACGACTCACAAGCAGTGAAGAAGTTGAGGAGCGTGTGCGCAATTGGCTCATAACTCACCCTCAATCTTTATATGAGAGAGCGATATTGAAGCTTCCAAATCGTTGGCAAAAGTGTGTAGAACTTGCAGGAGGATATGTAGAGAAGAACTAAAGTTTTCACTTGTGTATATTATTAATCAATAAATGTCTAAAAAAAATTACTGTTTATATTTGATCCACCCTCATATTTTAAATCAAATTATAATAATCCTATAGTAACAGTAAATGCAAGACTTCACCTTTTATGATAAATAAAAATTTTCTAAAATCTCAATTATTGTTAAGTTTTAATGAGAATTCTGCTTTTTTATTTTTTTGTAGTATATATTATATTGATTTAAATTTAAAATTTTTTATGGTTTATAATAAAAATGTTATCATAGATATGAAATGTATCTATGGCATTCATTAAATAGAATCAACATCTCTTAAAACACTGAACATTCTAAAAATATCAGTAATGAAAACAGCACTACATTTCTTTCAAAACATAACTTTTATTATTATGGCATTTCCAAAAATGTGGTACATGACCTAGTAGTAGTATATTAAAAAAAAAAAATGCTGACCTACAGAAAACTTAAAAATTATAACATTTCATCGTTATTTAAATTATTTTTTAATAATGTTGCACAATAATCAGAAACGCAGTAAATTGCTAATTATGATGGAAATTGTCATGTATATATGACTAATTTATGCATTCAAAATGACTTTCAAGAAAAAAATTCAAAATTATCAGTTTCTAGCTGGAAAAGCTTGGCAAGACTGTGTTATACATTTTACATGGATTCTGTATTGAAAACTTTGCTATTAAGATTTTAATGAACAAACAAGTATGTTTTACTATCTAATATAAAATATTGTTTTGGTAAAAATTATTGGTTCTCTAAATTAGGATAAGTTACTAGTTTTCTGTAATTAAGTTACTTGTTTACAAGAGAGATTCATACAAGAATATTTTTTAGATTTTGCACATTTAAAAACATTTTTATTGGTATTTTTCAGTTATTTGTCTCATAAATTTGTTGGTTTTTTTAATTAACTTTTTATGATTATTAAATTTATATATAAGTAAAAAGGAGTATTTATGTGCATATGCATGAATTTAATAGGATGTTTTAAATCTAAAACTTTTGGAAATTTCTCATATTGGTTAACTTAACTAAATGATTGTTCTGTTTGCTATTGATAATTTAAAATTTTATTATAACTTATTGTGGAAGTTATAATTACATTTGCTATCATAAACTGTTCTACTGAAATGACTTTTAAAATATTATACTTTTATTGTATTAGAAAAATCATTTTAAAAAGTAAGCAATGGTTTCTTAAAATACTAGTTTTTTTTTCCTTTTTTTTAACTCAACTAAATGGCTGCCATAATCAATAGGACTATAAATGTATCTAGTTTTTTTTTTATTTTTATTTTTCTATTTTAGGAAATTAATTTAGCTATAATTTCAAAATATATTTCAAAAATTTTAATTTTGACATTTATTTCATAAATTTAAGACAAGGCAACATCTTGAAGAAAAATTGGATGAATTAAATGCTGGAAGACCACAATGTCCAGTTGGACTTAATACACTGGTTATACCACGCAAAGGAACGCTTTCAGCAAATGAAAAGCAACCTTATGTATATTTAAACTGTGGACATGTGCAAGGTTTACATGACTGGGGACAAGAGAAGAATTCTAATGTTCGTATTTGCCCCATATGTTTAGAGGTATAAAATTTTTATTTATAAACTCAGAAAAATGTAATTACTATTGTTCTTTAATAAACATAAAACTATTTTTTCCAATAAGGTGTACTTATTTTCTACATGTAATTAAATAGGTTGGACCTATCGTGAAATTATGTATGGGTATTGAACCAGCATTTTATGTTGATATTGGACCTCCAACTTTTGCCTTTAACCCATGTGGTCATATGGCATCAGAGAAAACAGTAAAGTAAGTAAATTGGATTAAAACTTAAACCAAAAAAGTTGTTCTAAATNCGATGACGTTTTACATAATTATAGGAGTTTTTTACGGATACCGTCGCAATTTTTTCGCAGTTTTATAGGAATCGTAATTATAGGAACCCATTTTATAGGGGGGTCTACTGTACTGGTTTTTTTTTCCATTATTAGATTTTTGTATTTTGGTAATTTATTATCCAGAATACAAAGATAATGCTTAAAAGACTTTTTAAAATCATTCTTAACAGTGCAAAAAATTGTGGAATGCTGTGTACAGCAAATTGTATACTGTGTGAGCAGAGAAAACAGAGAAAAGTTTTTTGTGTTTTACTTTTCTCATGCACACAAAGAGAACAAAAGTAAGTCATAAGTAATATGCACCCTAAATTAAATTAATATTACTTTTATTTTCTATTCTCATGAAATGAGAATTGATCTGTGTTTTATTCACCTCAAAACAAAAAGTTCTCTCTACATTATATTTTTATGATATTGATTTTTCAGAGTGAAACCATAGAATAAATAGAATTAAAACTTTCCATTAATAAAAATGCTTAATGCATCACTGGTTAATATTTTATAAAAAAAAAAATGCATATATTGAAATAAATGACTCTATGAAGGAAAAAAATATATGAGATATTTAGAANTGCATATAAGATGACCTCACATATAGAATGAGGTGTGACTTTAAAAATCAAAGTAAAGAAAATTAGATTTATTAATACACTTCTAATTTTATTTTGTTTAATTAAAAGTAAAATAGCAAATAAACGTAAATGCACACATTGTCCTGCAAAAATTACTGGCATTTTAAACTTTAAGGAAAAATCTTGTAAAATCAACAACATAAAGTGTTTGTGTAAAGCTGGACAATCAGAAAACTTTTTTTGCCAATTCTTAACAGTCGAATCCACTCTCCATCGATTATATTTATGAGTTTCTCCAAATTCTGATTTCCAAATAATCATCTGTTTTTACATGGGAATGGATTAAAACTTATATCAATCTCTCGTGTGATTTTGGAATGTTAACCTGAAATTTAATCAAAAGCTTTGCTTTTTCTATTGCTATTCATCTTTACTTCTGACAATATATAACTATTGAAATTATCCAGATAATGTACTTATGTTTTTAAATACAAAAGGGTGATCATCCGGCAAAATGTGCGAATACACAATTCGCAAAAATTACTTGCAAAAACACAAAGAATCTTTTTCTTGTTCATATAGGACAATCTAGGAACTTGAAGCTGTGATAAATGAATGTCTTATATGTGAGTAAATATGGTAATTTTCTGAAAACAGATACAGTTAAATTTTATTTTGCTACAAAGATTTGGATCAATATGATGAATTTGCTCTCAGAAAACAATAGCTGAATGTTGTCATTCATATATACTGCTATTTACTTGGAAATTCATTTATATCTAGCAGTTTTCAGTTTTTGCCACGCATCACTTGCAACAAAACTATGCTCAGGTTGAACTTGAAGCTTATAAATTAATATGCAGATATCAAAGGACACTGAGCCTATAGTTTTAGCTTCAACTCAAAGTTTTTGTTTTGTACAAAAAGTGACAGGTAGCAAATCTCTCATCATCAGATAGTAGAGAAATCCATTTCTTCAAAGCTGGAAGATTTTTTAGATTGTGCAACTTGGAACCATGCAGCTCATAGTGTAATTACAGAAACATGCAATAAAGCAGTTGCTTGTTTTTCTCTCTGAATATAATTCAGAAGAATTCTTTTTCTGCTTCAGTACTTTAACAGTTACTGCTCTCACACCAGTATTAAACTGAAATATATTAATTAATTATTATTATTAATATTAATTTTTGAAGTAATTTGTTTTTACCTGCTATTTTAGATTGAAGAAGATACAAATATTTTACAAGATGGAACTTTAATTGACCTCTGTGGAGCAACTTTATTATGGCGTTCGGCAGAAGGTCTTAGCAGATCTCCAGTAAGTATTAATAAAAATACTGTTGGTATTTTTGTGGGGTCATGTATTAAAATTACAGTATATCTAATTAATTTATAAGAGAATAGTTATGATTAAGGGTGATGATGCTCTGATGATGATGATTATTAAAACATGAAGTTTTTCATGCTGCAATATAGAATTTAATTTTTTTGAATAGATGTTTTACAATATTTAAGAAAAATTGCAGATTGAAATTTTACTTAAATTTTTAATAGTACAAGGGTGGATTAAATATAAATGGTAATTTTGCTATTCTGCTTAGTACGCAGTTCCTAGCTAGATGATGTAGAGTGCAGTTGATGTTTGATTTGTGAGGAGTGGGGGAATTGGCTTAGTTAACAAGTGCACTCGGTTCTGTTGTCAGTACAGCCATGATCATGTAAAAGGTACATTTGTCTGTTGCACAACACATCATCATAGTTTTTAACTAATGAGGGCGTCAAACCCTCGGAAATTTTTAGTCAATTGAAGGCACAGTTTGTCTCAGAATCGCGAATCACAGAATTTAAAGATGGGCAGGAACATGTCAAAAATGAAGGTCATGATTGACGCCCAAAATGACAACATCCATGCTGTTCAAGAGCTTATTGAACATGATCGTTGGTTAACTGTTGAAATGTCATCAGAAGTGGGTATCAGCTATGGGAGTGTTCAATCCATTATCACTGATCCATCTTGGCTTCAGAAAAATTAATGCCCAATGGGTTCTGAGGTTGTTGACCAGAAATCAAAAACAAGTCAGGTTGAAATGGGCTGGAAAATCCTCGAACACCTTCCTTATAGTCCAGACTTGTCCCCCTATGACTATTTTTTGTTTTCACCCTTGAAGGAATCACTTGGAGGAAAACGACTCACAAGCAGTGAAGAAGTTGAGGAGCGTGTGCGCAATTGGCTCATAACTCACCCTCAATCTTTATATGAGAGAGCGATATTGAAGCTTCCAAATCGTTGGCAAAAGTGTGTAGAACTTGCAGGAGGATATGTAGAGAAGAACTAAAGTTTTCACTTGTGTATATTATTAATCAATAAATGTCTAAAAAAAATTACTGTTTATATTTGATCCACCCTCATATTTTAAATCAAATTATAATAATCCTATAGTAACAGTAAATGCAAGACTTCACCTTTTATGATAAATAAAAATTTTCTAAAATCTCAATTATTGTTAAGTTTTAATGAGAATTCTGCTTTTTTATTTTTTTGTAGTATATATTATATTGATTTAAATTTAAAATTTTTTATGGTTTATAATAAAAATGTTATCATAGATATGAAATGTATCTATGGCATTCATTAAATAGAATCAACATCTCTTAAAACACTGAACATTCTAAAAATATCAGTAATGAAAACAGCACTACATTTCTTTCAAAACATAACTTTTATTATTATGGCATTTCCAAAAATGTGGTACATGACCTAGTAGTAGTATATTAAAAAAAAAAAATGCTGACCTACAGAAAACTTAAAAATTATAACATTTCATCGTTATTTAAATTATTTTTTAATAATGTTGCACAATAATCAGAAACGCAGTAAATTGCTAATTATGATGGAAATTGTCATGTATATATGACTAATTTATGCATTCAAAATGACTTTCAAGAAAAAAATTCAAAATTATCAGTTTCTAGCTGGAAAAGCTTGGCAAGACTGTGTTATACATTTTACATGGATTCTGTATTGAAAACTTTGCTATTAAGATTTTAATGAACAAACAAGTATGTTTTACTATCTAATATAAAATATTGTTTTGGTAAAAATTATTGGTTCTCTAAATTAGGATAAGTTACTAGTTTTCTGTAATTAAGTTACTTGTTTACAAGAGAGATTCATACAAGAATATTTTTTAGATTTTGCACATTTAAAAACATTTTTATTGGTATTTTTCAGTTATTTGTCTCATAAATTTGTTGGTTTTTTTAATTAACTTTTTATGATTATTAAATTTATATATAAGTAAAAAGGAGTATTTATGTGCATATGCATGAATTTAATAGGATGTTTTAAATCTAAAACTTTTGGAAATTTCTCATATTGGTTAACTTAACTAAATGATTGTTCTGTTTGCTATTGATAATTTAAAATTTTATTATAACTTATTGTGGAAGTTATAATTACATTTGCTATCATAAACTGTTCTACTGAAATGACTTTTAAAATATTATACTTTTATTGTATTAGAAAAATCATTTTAAAAAGTAAGCAATGGTTTCTTAAAATACTAGTTTTTTTTTCCTTTTTTTTAACTCAACTAAATGGCTGCCATAATCAATAGGACTATAAATGTATCTAGTTTTTTTTTTATTTTTATTTTTCTATTTTAGGAAATTAATTTAGCTATAATTTCAAAATATATTTCAAAAATTTTAATTTTGACATTTATTTCATAAATTTAAGACAAGGCAACATCTTGAAGAAAAATTGGATGAATTAAATGCTGGAAGACCACAATGTCCAGTTGGACTTAATACACTGGTTATACCACGCAAAGGAACGCTTTCAGCAAATGAAAAGCAACCTTATGTATATTTAAACTGTGGACATGTGCAAGGTTTACATGACTGGGGACAAGAGAAGAATTCTAATGTTCGTATTTGCCCCATATGTTTAGAGGTATAAAATTTTTATTTATAAACTCAGAAAAATGTAATTACTATTGTTCTTTAATAAACATAAAACTATTTTTTCCAATAAGGTGTACTTATTTTCTACATGTAATTAAATAGGTTGGACCTATCGTGAAATTATGTATGGGTATTGAACCAGCATTTTATGTTGATATTGGACCTCCAACTTTTGCCTTTAACCCATGTGGTCATATGGCATCAGAGAAAACAGTAAAGTAAGTAAATTGGATTAAAACTTAAACCAAAAAAGTTGTTCTAAATATAAATATTTTAGAAAATTTTTATACACACACAACAAATTAGTTAAATAAATGTTTGTTTCTAAAAAATAATTTTGAACTCCTAATTAAATTTTATTAGGAGTTCAATCTAAAATCTAAAATTTAATTAAATTAAATTTTAGATTTAAATATGACAAAATGAGATTTTAATCTATATAACCTCTGAATTAAATATTTTCAAGTAAGCATTTATAGAGGCTTATGTTAAAGATAAAGAAAAATCATTTATTATATTTATAAGAATAATTGATTAATAAAGATTTTTTTCTATTTAAAAAAATATTGTAGAAATAAAATTTTGAATGATTTCAAGGAATATTTGATCAGCTAATATTGTTAGCATCAGGGCTGTGGAGTCATGTAAAAATCTACCGACTTCGACTCTGACTTTTTCTTACCATCCGACTCCAACCAGGAGCGGACTTGTTACCGAAAGAAACCAGGAAATTCTGATGTCATCACATGACTTCAGAATAAAAAATTCAATAAGTGAAGTTTTAATAAAGATAGAACATAGAAACTTTTTATTCCAAAGATAAAAGACTCCTCTAAGTACAATAATATGTAAATATGTATTCGATAATTTTTACTTTTCCAGTTGTTATATATAACAAAGGGAAAGTGTAGTGCTCAGTCAAAAAATGACCCCTCCCAAATTTTTACATCTTTAGACTCAGGACACCTTGAAATTTCATAATATGCAAAAGATTCGAGGTTTTTTTCTTTATGTGTGGATGTTAGACTATGGGGGGCATGACAGGGTGAACAAAATCATTGTTCACCCTGTTTGAAGCCTAATAATTTCTTTTGTCAGAGTGGTTAGAATCGGAGTCATAAGGCTTAACACAGCAGTTAAGCGTCAAAGTGGTTGAACTAAATCGTGTCCCCATTTACATTGTAACATCTTAGATGAGAACATCTTAATGGGTTTTACTGTACTTTTATAAAATGACAAAAAAGCTTAATTTAAGGATAGTGATGAGTTTTATTTTATTTTTTAATTTTGAATGCTAATAACGAGTAAAATAGTCATTGACACGTGACCCCTTTTATGTCTTCACCCTGTCGACCTTTAATTAAGAACCAAAATTTAATAGTATTAATGCCCCTTTATATGCAAGCTACAGTGCCACATTTCGTTTTTTAAACTTTACCCATTCTGAGATATTGTTTAATATCTCAGAACAGAAAATAAAGAAGTTAAACAAATTAGAAGCCAACACACACGCATGCACAAATTTTTCCCTTTTATTGACTTTTTTGGGGGGTTGGGAGGTCTCCAAATGTATAGATTTGCAAAAAAAAAAAAAAAGAAAAAACTTGGAGGATCAAATTTGATGCGATTCCAATACTTTTCCATTTTATATACATAGCAAGTTGGTAAGTAAAAAGGAAAAAAACAAGTTTTAAAAAAAAAAAAAGGAGTTGGAGTTGGTGGATTTTTTGATGACTCTGACTCCAGCTAAAACACCAAAACTCCACAACTCCGACTCCACAGCCCTGGTTAGCATGTAATGTTTAGTTTAAATATACTGTAGACTCCCCTATAACACTGTAGATACTTTCCGTGTTATATGAATTCTGTGTTGTACGAGTCACTTAAATACATGAGCCAATCACAGCCCGGCACGTGTGCAGTTTAGTAGCTACGGCTGTTTGAAAGGCTTTCTTCCATAAAATTAATCGATTCTAGACTAATTTGACTCAACATTTCCAAAACACATATAATTTTTTGAGAATAATCCATATAAACTATGCTATAAACAAAAAATTGTAGGGTTACTTACCAAGTGTGTGTCATTCGACGATGCCATTGCTTAAGCTTGTTTTCATCGTGGAGCAGTTCATCAACGGCGGGCGTGTGTTTCCTGATAAGTTATTTTTCTGCAAAAAATTTGCTGAACTTTGGAGACGACATTAATATAAATATAATTTTTATGGCTGTTAAATAATAAATGATTTTTAATAGGTCCGCTGCTTGTTTAAACTCGACGGTTTGTGCAATGTCTGTTATTGGTCCAGATTTGACCAAGCCTGTCACGACATGAGTCAGCAATGACGTTTACCGTGTTATATGAGTCTCTTTTAGCGTGCTATATGAACATGATCACAATTTTTTCACCGTGTTATACGAATCCGTGTTATATGAACCCATGTTATGGGGGAGATCTACTGTAATAAATAATTTAAAATGAATATGGATAACAGGTAGCAGTATGCCATATATTATAAATTGCCATAGAAAAGAGAGTACTTTTCTATGGCCAAATGGATTGAGATCAATAAAAAAAAAAATACATTTTTTTTTTATCGATCTCAATCCATTTGGCCCTCTTGTTCTTCAAATCTCATTCCATTTGGTTTTTAGTTGTGAGGACATCTAAAAAGCTTGGTTTATTGATGACATGCATATTTGACAGCCTTGAATGTTTATTGTTTATTACCTTCAGAATGAGTCCCTTGCATTGCTAGTCTCTGTATAGCATGAGTGTCTTGTACAAATAAAATTTTCATTACTTGCAGTGCCAAAAATATCCCAGTGGTGAGTTTTGGTGCTAGTTTTTTTTATGATGTCGTCTTCGACATGTTCTGAAATGTCATCAGGCCAGGTTTACGAGGGCTATTTTTTAAATAAGGTCCATTTTTTAATAACAAGAAAAATACTGTAAATATCATTAAAATACATTTTTTCCCATATTCTACATACTTTTATCTACTTTTCTACATAATTTCCATTTTTGTTTAAACATTTGTCATACTGCTCAAAAATTTTTTTAATTTCGACTTCAAAGAAATCTGCCACCTGCCACCGGAAGACATTAGGCCATGCCACTTGTCTTATATGGCACGGCGGAGTTTTCTCAAGGTCACAATCAGCATCAGAATTGATTGTTGTGCCTCTTGGCATAAAATCACTAACAAAGTTTCCTGTCCCAAAAGACAGTTGCCATGATCTTTCGTGCTGAAATTGAATAACAGATTGTATCTTACAGTCGAAGGGTGACTTAGTTTTCTTAACCCTTTATGGCCTGAATTTTCATTTTTTGATAAATATTTTTTATATTTCTCATTTTATCATCAGAAGAGGTGTTTATTAACAGATAAGTAAATAAAAAAAAATTAAAATGTAAATTAAACAGCTTGGACTATCTATTATTTCTACCTACAAAATTTTTATAATTACACTTTTGCCTGACTTAACCCTTTATGGCCTGAATTTTCATTTTTTCATCAGAAGAGGTGTTTGTTAACAGATAAGTAAATAAAAAAAAATTAAAATGTAAATTAAAAATTTTTTAATTATGGGACTTATAAGTCCCGTCAGGCTTTAGAGCACATTTGGACTTAACAAGTTTTTTCTTGTTTAATATTTCGAAAATAAAATATTTTTGTTTTATATAAAGATCTTTTATCATAGAAATTTGCAAATTAAATGCATAATTATATATATTAAGTATTTGTTAACTTTTACTGTATAATAAGGTCAAAATATGAAAAAAAAATTAAAATGCATGACAAAACTAAAATAAAATTTATTGGTTTAATAATTTATGATTAGTAAAGATGTAAAAAGCTATTTTTTCCCCATTTACACACAAGAAAACTTTACGTAATGTGCATTTTGTATATGGTTTTGATGTGTATCAACATCAAATGGAAATTTTTTTGATATAAAATTATCTATTTATATATATATAAGTCTTATATGTATATTAACTATAAAAATGTTAAACAAATTCATAAATTTATAAAGCACAATGTAGAAAATACAAATTTCTAACATTTACAAAAAAGATTCCCTCAGGCCTGACGGGACTCATAAGTCCCAAACATATTTTGATCTCATACAGCTTGCAAACCATTAATTCTACAAACGTAATACATTAAAATCAAACTACACATATCTAGAATACATATTAAAAAATACAAAGACATTTAACTTGAAAACAATAAGTAGAATTTAGCAACAAAGAAAGCAATATCAGCTACTACCATTCAAACAACACACGATGTGAAACTTTTTTCAACAAAACTAAAACAAAAACAGTTTGAAAGTTACTACCCTCTAGAAGAGAAAAAGAACACTTTATACAATGATAAAATGTAAGTTCCAGAAAGCTATAATGCATACACTATGAAATAAAAAATATCAAAGATAGTGGGACTAGAAAGTCCCGTCAGGCAATAAAGGGTTTCTTAAACATTATAAACTTCTACAGTTCAGCACACAGACAGACAATATGGCTGCAAATGGCATCTAAACACGTGCAAAGCATGCTGAAAGCAGAAGCTCATGCTCACTGCTGCAATCGCGCGTCTTTCTCATTCTCATTCACAAATGGACCTTATTTAAAAAATATCCCTCATAGTTGCATTTGGACTGCTGAATATCTCTAGAGAATGTTAAGTAGGGATACTTTAGTTATTTTTACAATAATTTTAGATAATTAATTTTTTATTTTTAGTCATAATTTGTCAAAAATATACTATTTTAAAAAGAAGAAAAACGAAAAAAAGTTTATATTATTATTGATATTTCATATCAGAATGATTATTTATGCTTTCATTTAGTTTTTTAACATTTTGTTTTAGAAAATGATGATATATTTTCTGTTCTGTTCCTTTATTAATTAAATACATTTATAATTTTCACTTCATGCATATATAAATTTTTATTTATAACTTGAATATTTATTTAATTTGTATTTACTATAAATGTTGAATAAATTCATTTAAAGAACACAGTTATTGGAAATAAAATCAATATTATAAAAATTTTGTAATATAATAAATTTATGTAAGTAAACCATATTTTGATGACTTTTATGGAAATTTATTAGTTGTGGTCAAAAGTTTGGAAATTTCATTTTATTTGAATAAGTTTTAATAATTTTGTTATCAATTTAAACAAATATTAATTTTTATACAAAACTGATCCAAAAACATCTCAGAATAAAAAAGAGAAATCAATATTTGGAATGAAGTTTGTTATTTTTCTTTTCAAGAGAAGACTGAGAAGATTCTTTAAAAGTAGAGAGATTTCATTCCTAATATTGATTTCTTTTTCTTCTTATTTTGAGATATTTTAAGTTCAATCTTGTTTAACAATTAACATTTTATTATGATTGAAAATTAATTTATTTTAATAAATTTTAATAATTTTAAAAAATAAGAAACAATTTTGGCCTTGACTGTATATCTATCTACAAGAGTTAGTAAAGCTTATTTGGCAATAAATATTTCTATCCTAGGTATGATCAAGGAAAAGGATCTATTACATAACCAAAATTAGTTATCATATATTAAAAAATATGAATCCTTAGAAATTAACAGATCAATGTTAAAATTTTTATTTTATTTAACATAGAAAATATTAATTTTAAGTAAAACTAATCAATTTTTAATTTTTGATTTTTTTTAGTTTTATATGCATATTTAATTATTTTTGTATTAAATTTTTTTTATTTCAGATATTGGGCATCAATTCCTATACCTCATGGTACAAACACCTTTCATGCTGCATGCCCATTCTGTGCAACACCATTGTCTGGACATCCTGGTTATGTGAGACTTATATTTCAAGATCATGTCGACTGAGCTCAAATACTTTCTGGAGCCAACACAAATCGGAATTGTTGTTTATATATAAAACAAATTATATATATATAGTCTTCTGACAGAAGATACCACATTGGTAATTTATAAAAGACTTCAATATCTGCCAGTATATCATAAAAGAACAGATGCCAAAAACCTGTGATCCTGTTCTTCTGTGCAGGAATTGCCACCTAGCACAAAACACCATTATTCAGACTTTGGTTTCAAGGTTCTCTTCACGATTTTTCTTCCTTTGGTTTTGTGATTTGAACAAGATGGATAGTCAAGTACACCAAGTCATTTTGTGATTATTTGCATACAGTGGACCAGTTCAATGTATTCTATTTATGATACATATTGCAGATTCTTATTTAATCATGCTTGTTTCCATTCTTTGTAAACTTTATGATCAAATTTTTCTCCTCATATTTCGCACCATTCCTATTTATCATATTATTCCCAAATGAATTTTGAAATGTTATCATTGAAAGGACATTTTATGCAATTAAATGTGTATCTGTGTGCATATTGATAAGCTTTTTGAAAGTAAATAGTGATTTTTGTGGGTTTTATTATTTTGTTTATATAATAATTATTATTCATATATCATTATTATTATAGAAAATGACAATAGTTGTGAATTATTTTTAGTCTTCTGATAGAGATCAACATGTTAGATCTCTTTGTGATGTTTTACAAAATACTTCACATGACCATGGCAAGTGTTCATAACCAAAAAACAAAAAGTAAACTAAGATTGTTTCTCATTTCTAATTCAGACAATCCAAACATCTTCCACTAGAACAGCAAAACTTTATTGATATTATTTTGAACTGTTAAGAGAAGAAAAGAAAAATTTCTGTGACATCCATTAGTTGCAATTTATTAAAAACTTTATTCAAGTTTGTACATTGTTTACACTCTTAGATTGTTTATGTGAAATTCAAGTGTTCAGATATTCAGTAAAGTGTTTGCTTTCTTGTTAATTTGTGTACAGTGTTGTAAATCTGGTCACAAAATTTTCAAAATTTTGATCTCAGCAGGTGACCTTTCTTTGGAAATCTGCAGACAGAAAGAACTCCATTAACAGTGCAACAGTTCCAGATGCAATTGGATATGTGAACATTCAACATCAGATAATAAAATAAATTTTTGTGCACATTGTCTTTATTCTTTTCTTCATATACATGATAAACTGCAAAATGACAAAGTTAGATAAATTAAGACTTAATATCAAGTTTGTTAAAAATAATATTAACTTTATGATTATAATATTAATAATTTTGTTTTTGCTAGAAGCAGGGTCTGTACAGACCTGGAAAGTCAGGGAATACCGCGGAATCAGTCTTCGCTCTCGTTCCCTTTTGATCCGAATACGTCTTTAAATTTGGTTCGGTATAGGTAGGTCTAAGAAAATCGGAGAGACCAAACAAATGGCAAGATTTGTCGCGCTTATATCTCGTAACTTATAAATGATAGTTTCACGATTTAAATTTTGTTTATGTCCGTATTTAAAATGGTGGGGGAGAGGTAGCAGTTGCAAGTGAAAACTGAAAATAGCAGCATTTGGGCAGTGAAACTTTGGATGGCGAGGAGATAGGGTGTCGAAATCGGTGTCGATTTGTAGAGAACGACGGAATATACAATATTACTTAGCAATAATAAACAGACAAAATAGAATTTGTAAAGTTATAAGCCGATAGCTGTGCAAGTCGAAGAAATTGCAAAGGAAAATACGAACAGAAATGTAAGAAACTTATATTATTGGAAAGAAAAATTGAAAAGAAATCAGAAAAGTTCAAAATGATTAATGCAGATAGTATAGAGAGCGTAAGAAAACCGAGCGCGTCAACTCCGATCCAAATACTTCAAGTGCGCCACCACATGAACCGATAGGTATTGACTTGGAATGTGATAACCAATAAGACTTTATTCGTTTACATCTTATCCTTTAATAATACAAAGATTGATTGACACCTTAAACGATTGCGATTTTGTTCCATACACAACAGTGGCGTAGCGAACATAACTGGCGCCCGGGGCATGACACTTTATTGACGCCCCTTTCCCCTCCAGAAACAAATCTTGTTTCTCTTGGAGACCATTTGGCGCCCCTCTGCGAGTGGCGCCTGGGGCATGATAGAACCCCTTCCCCTTGCTACGCTAGTGGTACACAACCCTTCCAACCTTTCTGACCTGTACATCTGGCTATTTCTCCCACACAGACTGCGCGATTTCTTCTGTTTAAATTATTTTGAATTTACCGTCTCCTCGCTTTAAGAAAATTCGATTTTACGACCCGACGCAAATCTTTTTCTTATTTAAACAAAATTTACGAATTAAATTAAATCATAAGTTTTTATATGACGTAGCTAATTATGTAATCGATTTTACGCCTAGGTTTTCGTTTTTTGTACGTGAATAGTGTTTTTAATTTAACAAAAAATTATATAATTATATACAAAATGGGCTTAAATAGACTTTGTCATATATTACATAATGGAAAGGGGAAATGCAGAGACGTTAATAAGTCAGGGAATCAAACATGGAATTACCTGTACCGACCCTGCAGAAGAAAATTTCTTCTAGGAAGAGTCTTACTCAACTTTGTAGCTTTCTTTTAAATTTATATATAATATATATATATATACAGTAGAGCATCGATTATCCGACTCAATTGGGGACTCAGGTTGGTCGGATAACCGAAAAGAATGAAAAAATAAATTATTACTATAGTATATTAGGATATTAGTAACAGGACTGTGGAGTCGGAGTCGTCAAAAAATCCGCCGACTCCGACTCCTTTTTACTTACCAACTTGTTATATATATAAAACGGAAAATTATTGGAATCGTGTCAAATTTGACCCTCCAACTTTTTTTTCTGAAAATCTATACGTTTGGAGACCTCCCGAACCCCTCAAAAAAGTCAGTAAAGGGGAAAAATTCGCATGCGTGTGTGTTGGCATCTAATTTGTTTAATTTCTTTATTTTCTGTTATGAGATATTAAACAATATCTCAGAATGGGTAAAGTTTAAGAAACGAAATGTGGCACTGTAGCTTGCGTATAAAGGGGCATTAATACTATTAAATTTTGGTTCTTAATTAAAGGTCGACAGGGTGAAGACATAAAAGTGGTCATGTGTCATATCTCTCAATGAATATTTTACTCGTTATTAGCATTCAAAATTAAAAAATAAAATAAAATAAAACTCGTCTCTACCCTCAAAGTAAGCTTTTTAGCCATTTTATAATAGTACTGTAAAACCCATTAAGATGCTTAATAACAAACACCTGTGTTAAACCATCTGACTCCGATTCTGACCACGCTGACCACAGAAATTATTAGGCTTCAAACAGGGTGAACAAAATCATGCCCCCACACACAGTCTAACATCCACACATATAGAAATAAACCTCGAATCTTGCATATCTCAAAATTTCAAGGTGTCCTGAGTTCAAAAATGTAAAAATTTGGGAGGGGTCATTTTTTGAGCGAGTGCTACACTTTTCCTCTGTTATATATAACAGCCGGAAAAGTAAAAATTATGGAATACATATTTATATATTACTTAGAGAAATCTTTTAGCTTTGGAATAAAAAGTTTCTACGCTCTATCTTTATTAGAACTCCATTTATTGAATCTTTTATTCTGAGGTCACGTGATGACATCAGAAATTCCGGGTTTCTTTCGGTAACAAATCCACCTCTGGTCGGAGTCGGTAGATTTTTACGCGACTTCACAGCCCTGATTAGTAAATCCCATGTAATTAGTTTATTAGTATATCGCTATTAACTAACTTTGCGTTGAATTTTCATTGATGTTTAGCCTAACAAATTTTTTTCTAAAATAATAATCATCGCTATTGTATCGTTAAAAATTATTTTATTGCTCACGAAATAAACAACCACTCATAATTAGAAAATTAATTCTCGTTTAAATATTGGCCTCCCTTCAATGGTCGAGCCGTTGATGCCAGCTAAAACACGCAAAAATCTAACAAAAATAATATTAAAGTAGCCAAGACATAGCTAAATATTGTAATGCCACATCACTAGCGGACATTTGAGATTTGCCGACTAGAACGATCGGTTAACCGATGTGACGGTTAATCGGGAGTCGGATAATCGAAGCTCTACTGTATTTGTAATTATTCACAATTATTGGACCCTTTATTTATGCAATTTGGTTGGGTCAAATGCACATAATAGGCTTACAAGCTGAAATGACTGTACATGCTGCAGTAAATACAACAATCTTATTAACAGCTGTGCTTGCTAAAAACTAATCTTCATTTTACACATTTCCTCTTGATTTAATGAGAACAACATTCCAAATGTAACAAATGCATCATTTTTCTATATAATTTGTGCATTGTGAAAAGAAGAGAGAAACTATGTCTAAGGTGTGCAATTGAATACTTTTGCTAAATGTCTAAATTGTAATATATACTAATATTATAAAGAGATAAAGTTTGTAAGTTTGGATGTAGGAGGTAATCTCCGAAACTATTCATCCGATTTCAAAAATTCTTTTACCAGTATTTAGAATGGACCTTCAGGGTGGATATAGGCTGTATATTATTCCGTTAAACATTCATATAAATTAAAAAATATAATCTAACTGATACTGTTATAGTCACAAACTGAATTCCACGTGGGCGAAACCGCGGACACAACTTATATAAAAGGCAAGTTATGTTAATAAATGACAACACATAGATTATTAATAAAATTCTTGCTAGAATAATAAAACAAACGAGAGAGAGATAACGGATCAATAACGATTAATTACATGTTGAGCTATTATGGTTCTCTCTTCAGAGTAAATTTCAAGTTTTCTGTTTAAAATATTTTATCCAGTTTACAAAAAAAAAAAAAACAATAATTTTATCGTTATCAATCAGTAAAATTCTCTCCCATTTTAAAACAATTATTAAATACTTTTTAGTAAAGTCAACATCAAAAGTTTTGTTCAAGATAACATAATATCACAATTAGTTACTTTACATATTTAATACTATCAGTTATTGAACCGGCTTCTGATGCATATAATATATATACTTG